TATCTTAGCATCTTTGTTGAAGCTTTATGTCTGCCTGGAATATTCTTTTCCCAGACACCTACTTGGCTAATTCTCACACTTCCCTTAAGTCTCTGCTCACACATTGTCTTATCAATAAGGTATACCCTCACTACCCTATCTCATAGTATAATTGCCCTACCAACTAGGCTTGATCTTTATCCTACCCGCTTTCCTATTTCCATCTCAACTTATCAACCTCTAATGAACTATATAATGTCCTTATATAATTTATATGTTCTGGCCTACTAGCCCCCTGAGAGAAGGCAGCTTATCCACAGATGTGTCCCAAGTAGCTGGAGCAGGCGAGGCATTTAGTAGGTGCTCAATAAGCATTTTTTAAATGTGTGAACAAATGAGCAAACCAACAACAGACAGGGGGTTTAAAAAGTTCATGAAAAGTGTGTGTTATTTTAAAAATGCATGGATTTCCTTTTTTCTCCAAAATAAATTCATTTTCAATTTAATTTTCCATGAACTTTTTGAAGTCCTTTCCTATGTTCAAGTCAGTACTGAATCCTAATAATTCTACCTACAAACATTTCTAGTATCCTTTCCTTCTGCTCTGTACTTCTTCCTTTCTTAATAGTACTTTGATTACAACTGAGTTTTTGAAATCTACTGGCTGTACTTATCACTTGTGACCCATCTGGTTTGCTCATAGATGCCTACTCCCTTAGTACGGTGTTGCTTGTGTCACTCCCATGCCCATGGTGTAAATGCTTGGGTTCTTTAGGGGCCTTTGGGTTCCTTCCCTCAGTTTACTTTTCTTCCTTTTCTTCATTACCCCTCCTTTTCATGAACTCTTCTTTCTCTTTACCATCCTCCATCCCTGCCTATACGCTATAACCCTCATTCTTTCCTTGGCTCACAACGCAAATTCCTTCCCAAATCCTCTCCTCCTTTCCATCCTAGCTCACTTTTCATTTCATCTGCAAAGGCTTTCTTGACCCTCCAGTTCATAAGGATCTCCATTCTGTACGTTCACAGCACTTCAGGATTAGGCTCCCTTTCAATGGACACTTAATGTTATCTGCCTTGTAACAGCTCTTAGGGCATTATTTCACTGTAATTTATATAACTCATGAAGTGTTATGCAAAATTTTTGTGGATAATAAATCTGGCCAGAAAGTAATACTTGATTTGAAATTGTAAGACTGATTTATATGTCTTCTCTCTCTGATTTTTATAGGCTCCCTGAAAGTGGAAACAATGCCTTAAGCTTCCTTGTTTTCCATGGATTCAAACACAGCGCCAGGTGCAGAGTAGGTAGATACTTGTGTGGCAGTAGAATGATTTAGAATCCATGTGGGGAAAAGTTCCCAAAGCTGAGGCCCTTGTTGAAGGAACAAATACCAATACAATAAACCAAGATTAAAAACAAAACTAAAAACTCTTTAAGGGAGGGATCAGCAGATGGCATAATGGTTATGTCTCTGGACTCCCCCATAGTCAACCACAGTTTGAGTCTGGACCTGGTAGCTTAAAATTCACACTGGGCACACATGCGTGTGTGCCCAAAAATCCCGAGAGGAGAATGTAAGAGAAGGGATTGTGGGGTGGCTATCGCCTCCTCTCTGGGGGTGATTTCTCACTTTCTGTCTCTCTCTGTCTCTCTGGCAAGCACACAGTCCTATAGCAAAAATCTCTGCAAAACAAAAACGAAAAAATATATATAAAACAAACTGTTAAGGGAGCAGCTTTTCTAGTTAGTTACTCTTTATTAATTGTCTTTTTCTTTTTTTTAGACATTTATTTATATATTTCATTTAAGAGACAGACAGGGAAAGATAGCACTTCCAATAGGTCTTCACGGCATGATCGATCCCCAGCCTCAGTCAGTCAAGATCACAGGCATGTGTGCTTTTGCCTGGTGTGCTCCATGAGGTCCTGGGATGTGAACTTAGAACCTTCCCCAGGTGGGTTCAGTTGTGTCACCTGGCCCCCACTAGCTGTCACTAATGCGATTGATAATTTGAAGATGTGTAGCACTAATTGATTTCATTCTTATAATTATGCTGTTTAGCGCAGATGTTTTATTTTACTTTGAAAGATATAAGAAAAGCAGCTCTTGGGTGTGGTAGAAGGAGGTTTATGTCCACCTCACTTCCTTTCTTTTTCTTTTTCTTTTTCTTTTTCTTTTTCTTTTTCTTTTTCCTTTTCCTCTCTCTCTCTCTCTCTGTTTTTACAATCCACTTTCTATTTTAGTAACATGGCCCAAAGTTACAGCACACTCAAGGCCTCCTAACCCATGCTGCACGGCTGCAGGGTCGGGGAAAGGTGCTTCTACCAGGTGACGATCAGCACTGAAAGGACAGCACAGACCCGGGATGTCAGCGCTCTTCTCCTCACGGCCTTCCCCTGCTCCTTCTATTTATTCATCCAACAGACACCAAGAGAGTGCTTACTCTTCCCACTTTGGCCAGGGCTGGGCCTTTCCAACACCTTACAACACAAGGTGGATATCATGAATGCTCTGATTCTACAAACGAAGACCTTGTTCCGAGAGAGTAAATGACTTGGCCAAGTTGTTGTTAGCAAGTGTCAGGTCTGGGACTTAGATCGGGGAGGCCATTGACTTGAAGTAGTTGCTCTATTAGGTCATCGGGAAAGTCGTGACGTACATGTCTCTGTTTTTCTATGCAAAGATGCATCATGACTTTCCCAACAACCCAATATTTGATAGAGTCATGAGTGAACAAGTGACCCAAAGGCTGGTAGTGCTGACAGACACAATTAAACCAGCATAGACAATACAGAGGAGCACTGTATGGCATTCACGGTTTGTTAAAGAGCTATTATTGAAATGTAAGTGTTGATATGGTCAAAGTGTGTGAATGAAACTTTTTGGAGGGAAAAGCTGAGCTATTTTACTTTCTTTGATGATGCTCTGAAAGAGAGCTTCAACTCCTTTCTTCTTCCAGAAACTATAATGTAGTCATCTGGCTATACCCCCAAGTTCTTTTCAGTTCCAGTACCACACAGGAGTTTAGAGGTCAGCAAGGCCATAAATCCACAAATTTCCACCCCTCTGACTGCTAGGTGGCCGTGATAAGAAAAAAGGGCCCATTGACTACAATCTGATAGCCATTTCAAAGAAATAATCTTATCCTGACCTGACCCTGAATGTATAAATTGGGAGATAGAAATGTGTATGTCCCAAGGCTAATTTCAAGATAAATGAACTAAAACTCAATTCCTTAAAATACCAAAAACCAAATTAAAAGAGGGAAGGTGGTGGGGAGCTTATATCTCTCCCAGCAACCAAAGAATTCTGTAACAATTGCGAGCTCTCATCACTGGCCCAGGACACTCAGGCCAAGAACTCTGTCATCTGCCCTATGTGTCTGTTTTTTTTTTGGAGAGGTTTTTGCTATAGGGCGTGTATGCTCGCCAGAGAGAGAGAGACAGAGAGACAGAAAGCGAGAAATCACCCCCCAGGGGGGATGGCCATGCCGCAATCCCTTCTCCTCCATTCTCCTCTTGGGATCTTGGGCACGCACGCACACGCACCCGGCGTGAGTTTTCAGCCACCAGGTCCAGGACGCGAACCGCGGTCGACCACGTGGGAGTCCAGCGACACAGCCATTACGCTAACTGCTGGTCCCCCTACGTGTCTGTTTTAATAGTCACAGCCATCACTCTGCCATGGAGGCTCATGAAACTATTCTTGCTGACTATTCTATGAAATAGACTGACCACCATCAGAATATCTTACCCAATAAAGTTAATAATTACCTGATTCCCAAAATGTCTAAGCTACCTATATCTAAATGTAAAAATAGGGAAAAAAAAAAAAAAGGAATCTTATGCTATAGCAATATCAATGTAATATCTTAAGTATGTCCTTGATTATTCTTCTAAGAAACTGTTTCAGTTAATGTAGTTATAATTCTGCACTCCTACACATGTTTGAGAAAGCCACTTAGAGATCCATTAGCCAAAAGACCCAAGTGGAAGTAGAAGCCAAGGAGGTGTCACTGCCAATTCTTAATCTTCTCCCATCTAAAATTGCCGGTTCCTGATGTTGACAGGCACCTCTGGCCTAACTAGAAAAGCTTTCCCCGAGAAAGCTACCCGGCAGACACTGTATTGATGGACCTACGCACTGAGGAGTACCACGGGATGATGGCTCTTCCACATTGCTGCTTCATGCAGACACCAGTGGGGGTTTGGCACTTTGCCTGGCTTAAGTCAGGACCGCAGAGAGGACTCCTGCCCCCTACTCTGGGTATAGTAAAAAGAGCAGAGGCTGTCCTCTGACCTCTCCTCCTGACAAGCAGCTGCCAACCCACCTCTCCTAAGGGGTTAGATGGAGTGAGAGGAAGTCAGAGCAGTCACACCGGGCCACAGCACGCAGCAGCAGCATTCTCAGTTAGCAAACCTTCTCCCCTGGCCCGGAGCAAAATGCCCCAGACAATTGGGTAAGATTCAAACCAGGGAATGCAAGGGAAGGAGGCATTCCAGGGTGAAATTAAAAAAAAAAAAAAAAAAAAAAGTTGAATAAATCAAAGGATAAACAGAAAGGGAGAAAAAAAAAAAAAAAGAAAGAAAAGAATATGCATAAAGCCCATGAGGCTGGCTGGTTAACCATGGATTATAATCAGGTTTAGGGACTCACACGGTAACTCAGTATCTTAGCAAATCGCAAAACCCCAGGGTAAAAGACGTGGGTGAAAGGCATTTCTATTTGTGAAAACAGGAAATGTCTTTCCTTCACCATTTATTTCTATTTCTTTCTTTATTCTTAGTCTGTTGGAAACCTAAATTTGGACCATCAATCACTTTGACCTGCCCAGGATTTTCATCTGTTCAGAGTCAAAGAGCAACAAATATGGGGGTCCAGAGAGCCCTTTCCCACGGCCATTCCAACCAGCCCTTCTCTCCTGGGGTCACAGGGTGTTCAGAGCAGACACTGTCAGGACATGCCACACACAGCAAGTCACCAAACTAGACCGTTCAAGGGTTTCCAGGCGACTTACTTGTACTTGTGCTGGTTCCAATCGTATTGATTGTGGTGGGGACGGACGAGGAGGAGTAGAGGGGCACATGGCCATTCTCACACCCCAGGCTTTTGTCCTGCCAGTTGGAGGCGTTGATGCAAATCCCAGAGTCCCGAGAGTTCTGCCACCCATTGAGCTTGTCGTCGGAGTTCTGTCTTTGGTGATAGTAGTGCGTCTGTCCGTAATCCACAGAGTCCGAGCGGCCTCGGTTCTGGCCGCCAAAGCTGGTCGACGTGCGGTCCTCCAGGTGATTCAGCCACATGGCTAAAGCACTGCGGTCTTCCAGCGAAGTGGCCGGGTGTATCAAAGCATAGGACAGCAGCTGCCTGCTCTCCTCAATGTGCTGGTTGTGTTCAATAGAGTGCGCCAGGATTTTGGGCAGCAGTTTCATATACTCTACTTTTGCGTCGAGGTTTCCTGGCTTCAGCAAAGGCAGGTGAGTTAACAGGAGAGAAATCACTTTATCCTTGGATTCCTGTTGCCATTGGTTAATGATTCCTGAAAAGGAAAACAGAGAGGACAAATAAGCAAATATACCCACAACGACACTAAACACCGCACTCTAAAGAGAATTTCTGCGGGTTAGAGCCCCTGTCTATGTACCCTGGCTATATGTTCTTAAAACAGCCCGTGCGTCAGATTATCAGGGGCCAGGAACTCTGAAACAGATCAAACATTCTTAGGTGTTTGGGTGCTCAATCTAATTCTCATTTGCGTCTCCAGAGAGGCTACAACTATTAATACTTTGGTGGAACTGAACAGAATTTACAGCCCTGTTTCCTTTCTTAGAAAAGTCTAGCCCCACCTCCAGATAGACAGGGGCGAAGATGAAGACAGTCTCCATGAAAAAAATGAATGTCACCAAAGGTCCACATAGAGGGTCTTTGGAGTGAGGATGCCTCCTCTGTCCCAGACATCAGTTGAAAAGTGGGTTAAGTCTTAGCTAAGGCATTTGTGTGAAACTGGGAAAACTTCATAGACGGAGAAATCTGATAGGAGACAAAGAACTCCCCTCATCGCAGGGCTGTAAGCCTCTAAATTTCCCATAAGAAGCACACACAGTAGAACGACTGTGGGCTCAAAACCGGAAATAAGCAACTAAGACTTGGTTCCAGGGTCATTTCTGATCATGCATGCTAAGGAGGCTATTTTTTGATATATCATGATCTGCTTGTTTTTGTCATGGTAAAATATTCATAATAACGACCATTTAAACAGTTCTGTGGCATTAAATACTTTTTTAAAATGTACAACCCTAACTACCATCCATTTGCAGAACTTTTTCATCTTCCCCAACTGAAACTCTGGCCCCGTTAACAAGGACTCTCTACTTCCTCCTCCCCCAGCCCCTGGAAACCATCATTCCATTTATTTATTTATTTATTTATAATGTTTTTGCCATAGGGCATGTACATTCACTGGAGAGGCCAGTGAGAGAGTAAGAAATCCCGCCCCCCTAGGGGGAATGGCCACACCACAATTCCTTCTCCTCTTCCTCCTCTGGGGATTTTGAGCAAGCCCACACCCTCTCCCAGCATGATTTTCAAGCTGTCAGGCCCAGGACTTAAACCAAGTTTGACCATGTAGGAGCTCGGAGCCTTAACCACCATGCCACCTGTTGGCCCCATCATTCCATTTTCTGTCTCGGTGTGTCTGACTGCTTTAGGTCCCTCAGAGACATGGAATCATGCAGTACTTGTCCTTTTATGACTGCCTTATTTCACTGAGTATAACACCTTCAGGGTTCATCCAGGTGAAGATCTGTTTTTAGCATACTTACAAGGATCCCTCTGTTCCATCCCACTCAAAACACAAACAATATGCTTTGCTTTGACTAGACTCAGAAAGGAACTTTGTTCTAGTGGCTTATAATTATCTACAGGCCTTAGGGCCACAGGAAAGGAATCTCCTTTCCAGAAAAGTTACTCATGAAACAACATTCTCACTTCTGGCCCACTGGCCCTATATGAGGGCTGAGGCTGGACAGTCTAGCTGGCTTCCATGTGGAATTTGCAAGGTCAGAAGGGATTTCTGGAGTTTAGCAGAACTTAGGCTTCACAATCCTAGCTAGGCATGAAACGACAGAATAAGCTCAAGTCCACTGTTGACCATAAACTACAAATGCATCAACATGTCCTGAGAGGCCTCTCAAACCACAGGAAAGAATCTTCAAAGAAACGTATTAGCAAGGAAGGTCATGGGAGA